CGGCCAGGGGCCGGGCCCAGGGCCCGAGCCGACCCAGGCTGGAAACGCCGGGGGGGCCAGCCTGGGCCGCGCCTCCTCCCCCCACAGCCCCCCTTACCTGCTTCAGGCTTCTCGCGAATCAAATGTTCGCGGGAAGCAGGGGAGGGGGCGGAGACTTTGGGGAAGGGGCGGAGTTGGGGCGGGGCTGGGGGCGGGGGCAGGGCCCCGTGGAGTGTCCTCCTTTTGGAGGCACAAAATATGGTAACCCGAAATAAGCAGGGAGATAAATCGCACTCTTGTTTGTTTGTTTTTTCTTTTATTTAAAAAAGAGCCTCACAAAATTACAATCCATGAAGATTTCCTTTTGTAGTCCTTGATTTGATCTCACCTCAACTATTGCAACACTTGGACTATCCAGCTCTCAAGTCTCCTCTATTCTATACAAAATGCTCCCTCAAAGATCATCTGTCTTGTCTGTGGACTGACTACATCCTGCTATCTTCATTTGTGGGCTTCTCATCTCTTCTTATATAAAAGGGAGGGGGAGGGATAGCTCAGTGGTTTGAGCATTGGCCTGCTAAACCCAGGGTTGTGAGTTCAAACCTTGAGGTGGCCACTTAGGGATCTAGGGCAAAATCAGTACTTGGTCCTGCTAGTGAAGGCAGGGGGCTGGACTCAATGACCTTTCAAGGTCCCTTCCAGTTTTAGGAGATAGGATATCTCCATTAATTATAATTATAATTATAAAGTTAATCTCCTTTTGTTTGCCTTCAGGGCCTCACATGACTTTGTTCTGTTAATGATCTTGTCTTCCCTTTCTTCTTTCATTCTACATGGCTAACTGCCCCTTTAGGCTCTCCCACTGACATCTGAGTCTAATTCCCTTATGCCTACAATCCTCTCGCTGACCCTGACCCCAGGATTCCTCCACCCTCTTTCCTCAAATAAGCCAAATAACATTAGCCCAGCCACAACAGAAAACGAGCAGCTCTAATTCTAGTGATAAACACTAAATGTACTAAAAAAATGGGGGGGGGGGTGTTTATAAATAGCATTAGAAAGGCATGAGCTTAACTTGATTTAGTTATTCTACTTGTTCATTGCCTTCCATTTCCTTTTACTTTGAATGCTGTCTTTTTAGGCCCCAGTTCTGCAATGAGAACCTGTAGGCCCAGAGCTCGACCTGCGTAGTTCCCTTTGCAGGTTTGAAGCAGGGACTTTGTCTTCATACCTGTGTGGAGATCAAAGTGGTATCTTAATGCAAGAATTAGGGTACTGAGCCCAAGTAATTTTATCCCAAAATTGCTAAGGCTTCTGTCTAGACTGAGAAAGAAAGATAAGCTGAATTAATCATTGTTTCTTGTGACATAATTCAAAAATTTGACAAACAGTGTTGCCACATGAGGATTCTTATCACGCATAAGGTATTTCTGGGGGAATTCTGTGCCTAAAAATTCTGTACACAATATTTTAAAATTCTGCATATTTTATTTGTCAAAATAACACAATATAATTACACCAGTTTCAATTATTTTAGTAATTTATTTCAAAATACTTGTCAGCAAGTATGTCAGTAACAACACAGACAACAAAAGCTTTCCCCCAGGAGTAGAGAGTTAAAGAAACTCCTAGGACAATCCAATTCCTGTTTCTCTGTTAGACTGAGGTTCCCAACAAAAGTATGGGTGTGTCACACATAGAATCATAGACTATTAGGGTTGGAAGGGACCTCAGGAGGTCATCTAGTCCAACCTCCTGCTCAAAGCAGGACCAATCCCTAGACAGATATTTGCCCCAGATCCCTAAATGGCCCCCTCAAGGATTGAACTCACAACCCTGGGTTTAGCAGGCCAATGCTCAAACCACTGAGCTATCCCTCCTCCCCAAACGTGTCAACTAAGCACATCTTGGGGGAAAACTTTGCCTCTTTGGTCTCAGACATCCACACCCCCTCCCCACCAGACCCCAGCCATAGGGCGCCCCCCTTAGCCCAGACACCCGCACCTCCTAACCCCCCGAGCCCAGCCGGGGCCCCCCAGAGCCCAGCTGCGGGGCAACCCCCAACACTACAGCCGTGGAGTGCCCCCTACCCCATTTTCCCGCATCCGCTATCCCCCAGTGCCCTGCTGTGGGGTGCCCCCCCTAGCCCAGACGTCTACACCCCCTTGCCTCCAGAACCCCAGAGATCTAAGAGAGAGAGAGAGAGAGCCTGATGCTGGGTCCCAGGCTTGTATGGTGTTTCTTGCACACTGCCTCCTTCTTTCACGATGTGCTGGGAACTGAAGGTGCCTGGAACTCTTCCCCCTCCCCTTCCCCAGCAGGTTCCTGTATATGTGAGCTGCAGAGTAGGGCTCTGCTGGGTCTAGTGGCCCCTAGTGCTTGCCAGCAGCTCTGCAGCACCAGTTCTGCGAGAAAATGAAATTCTGCACATAATTCTGCATTGCGTGGTGGCACAGAATTTGTCCATGAGTAATAAGGATGTCATAAACTATACAGCAAGAGAACTCAGTTATATAATTAGTTTATAAAGAAATTAAGAAAAACAATAAACAATGTTTAGTTTAATTAGTTTATTCAGTTGTGTCCTTTTTGAGAGCCTCCCACAGAGGGTTGTGTCTTCTATAACAGTCAGACTGTAGGAGACACTCTCCTCTAGGCAAGCAAAAAGAGCAACTAATTAGGCTCCACCTATTCATTTTGGAACTATCTAATTATCCTAGGTAATCCAGGCAGTTTATTGGTGGCAAAGGGCAAAGTTCAAAGGTAGGTGATGTGACAGATGTGGTAGTGTCCTGCAATATTCTGAACAAACCTTTTTGAATTACATTGAAGTATTTAGGAGTTAATTGTATTAAAAATGCAAATATTTATGTATTATTGTGGGATGTATATAATGTCTACGGTGGGGAGACATGACTAATGTAAACCCTGGGAAGTGTTATGATCTTCAGAAGACTATTTGAAAGAATGTACCAGACAAGAATGAATTTTTAAAGTTGTGGGTTTCCCAGGAAATGTCTAGGGGCAGGTGTATGCAAATATACTCCTTTCAGTTATGTAACAACTCAGCCTTTGGAAGCTTTGCTTGGAGGGGACCTTTGTCTGCTGATTAATTAGCTTTTAACATGAGAACAAGATCAGAGGCCCAAACTGTATAAAGGAAGGACTCTCCGATTCAAGGGGGTGCTGGTTCTGAGCCAACGTGATTATAAACTTGTAATCACAGAAAACACCCTTGATGGGGTATGAAGGATTGACTGGCACCAGAGTCCTTGTTAGAGTTAGGGTGATCTCTGGTAAACGTATTAGCGTATGTGTAGGTTCTTTTATTGTTTTAGTATGTTTTCTTTGTAATGTATTCACCTTAAGAATAAATGTGTTTATTTAGGAAAAACTGTGAGCAATTACACTGTTGTAGCCTCTGTGGAGAAAAGCAAAGCAGGCCTGCTTAAGCAGTCTGACTTGCTGGGAAATTCACATTATAGGCAGGGAACTGTGCAGCCTGGAAACACCTTAGTCAGAAGGGAGTGAGATATGTGTCTCTGCCCATAAGAGATGATGGTTGAGGAGCTGGGAGCCTGAGAGTAGGTGCCTTCGGTGGAGCATAGTGTGGGAATACAGGTGCAGTTTCCCTGAACTGTGGCAGGTAAATCCTGTTTAGATTATCATAGTGAGGGAAACATTTATAATTGGAAAACGGTGTAAGTGATCTTACAAATTCTGTGTACTTCAATAACTGGAAGAGACCTTTAGTTCAGTTGCTTAAAGAAGCCACTCAGCTATTATTCACTCTAAATCTATGTGGCTTTTTAGCCCACCAACTGACCCAAAGGGCTTGAAGCAGGCACATTAATAAAAATTTAAAATCTTAAATTCAAATTAAACTCCACAGTCTCTGTTTTAACATAGTCAATGTATATATGCTGTCCAG